TGGTAGGTCCGATCAGATTCTAGGGTTTCTTATTAACCCTACTGCAAGCTCATCTATACAGTTTGGACTGTGCGACTGAATTGCTTCTTTTCAGGACTGATTAAAACCCTAACTTTCCTTAGCATATCAGTTTTTTAAAGGCTGTTCTCAGAGTTCTAAGGGGGTTAGAAATCTACGGACAGCTACTGTTGTGTTGGCTAGTTGTTTTCAGATCAGAATTATTTCAGTTTTGTGCACATACACTGGGAATATAGATCAGGCCTATACTGTTTTGATTGTGATTGGTGCTTCAAGTGCTGTTTTGAGACTTGACAGAAATGGAGTCTAAAATTCAGGCAGAAGGCAGTCTTGGGAACAYCAGTTATGGTGGTATTTCTGAGATGGGTGGTCAGATTACGACTGTAAAGTTTGATGGATCAAACTATTTGGAATGGGCCCAATCAGCCATGATGGCTATGAGGTAAATTAGGGTACCTCCTGGGAGATATGAAAGAACCTTCCAAAGGAGACCCGACATATACCAAGTGGATGCAAGAAAACTACTTGGTTATGAAAGAGACTTACTCCCAACCCCTTAATGTTGCCAGAGCATATGAATTGAAATGTGAAGTGAACACCCTTAAACAAGGAGAGAAACCGGTGTCGGTCTACTTCTCTACCTTGAATTCCCTGTGGCATGAGATTGATCACTTAGARACTCTTGAGTGGGAGAGTCCCAAAGATGCTCAGACCCATAGAAAGCACATCAAGACAAACAGTGTTTGAGTTCCTGGCGGGACTGAACTCAGAATATGATATTGTGAGGCAGCAGATTTTGACTAGAGACAGTGTGACTCTCTCTCAGGCTTACTCATTTGTACACAGTGAAGAGACCAGAAGGAAGGTTATGATGCAACCCACATCAGCCTTCGTAGCGGCTACACCCAAATCAGGGGGTGATTTGGAGAAGGATGTAGTATGTGAACATTGTAAGAAACCCAAACATACAAAAGAGACATGTTGGAAACTGCATCCCCACTTGGTTCCTACGAAGTTAAGAAACAAGAAGGGCACTGCTCATGTAGCCATGAACACTGATTCAGCATCTTCATCTAGCACAAAAGGAACATCGTTGGAGACCTTAACTGCAGTTCGGACTGCCCTAATACAGCTAGAAAAGGAGGTTGGAAATTCAGCTCAGCCACCGCAGCCTCCATCAGCCCCTATCACATCTGCTTTCGCCCATTTAGGTACTCAAGCTTCAGCCTATCATGCCTCAGCTCCAGGTACTACTGAACCTTGTTGGGTAATAGACTCAGGTGCATCTGATCACATGACTAGATTGCCTTCATTGTTTACTACTTACCATTTGTCTTCTAGTAGGGATAAGGTATCTATTGTTGATGGCTCCCTAGTTCCTATTTCTGGGAATGGTGACATCAAGCTTTCAGATACTATCTCCCTATCATCTGTTTTGCATRTKYYTARGCTTGATACTAACCTTCTTTCAGTCAGTAGTATTACCAAGCATATGAACTGCTCAGTAACCTTCTTCCCTGACCGATGTGTTTTTCAGGACTTGGAGATGCAGAAGGTGATTGGGACTGGCCGTGAGACGAATGGGATCTATCTGCTCATGGAGCGGTTCCATCAGGGAGAATCAATAGAGAAGCTGTCTTTTGTTTCTCAGAGTGTGAGTCCGGTTATGCTTTGGCATAACCGATTAGGTCATTTGTCTTTTCGATCTTTACAGAGTCTGTTTCCTACTTTATTTGAGTCTATTGA